ATCCTAAAGAATCACATCTAAATGCTTTAAAACAAATCTTTAGATATTTATGTAGTACTAGAACATTAGGCCTTTGGTATCCAAAAGGTACGCACATTGACCTTATTAGCTATTCGGATGCCAATGGGCGGGTTGTACAATTAATAGAAAAAGCACAAGTGGAACTTGTCACTTTCTAGGCTTTACTCTTGTATCATGGTTTAACAAAAAACAAAATTTTGTTGCACTATCAACCGCCGAAATCGAATATATCTCGGCCGCTAGTTGCTTTGGTCAAGCTCTTTAGATGAAACAAACCCTTAATGATTATCACTTAACTTTTGAAAACATTCATATCATGGGCGACAACACTAGTGCTATAAATTTTTCTAAAAATCCCATTTTGCACTCTTGCACTAAACATATTGAAATTCGACATCATTTTCTTACAGATCATGTGCAGAAAGGTGATATTTATTTAGAATTTGTTAGTACCGATAATCAATTGGCCGACATTCTTGCTAAACCTCTAGCTCTCGATAGATTCTCTTATATTCATAGAGGCTTAGGTATTATCGATGAATTTGAAATTTGTGACTAAATTTGTTTAAAATGTATGATCAAAACGATATTATATGTGATATTCTTGATTTTTCGGTTGACCATATTATTATTTCGGTCGACCGAATCTAGTCACCCGAAATGAACTGCAGCCTCCCTACAAATTTCCTGCAGAACTTCGGTCGACCAAATGATTGACCGAAACATGATTTTCGGTTGACCATATGATCGACCGAAACATGAATCGACCGAAAATTATTGCAGCTGCCTTTAAAATTTTCTGCAGACTTTCGATCGACCGAAAAACTATCTGGTCGACCGAAAACCTCGCGGCTTAGCTTCTTTTCAAATCAAATTTCATCCCCAAATCATCATTTTATACCCTAACTCGCGATTTCTCTTCATCTTCTCTATTCAAATCATACACATTTCACTCTTCTCAGCAAAATCGCTCCAATATTTCAACAAATCTATCACATTCATCAAACTTTCCTATCAAATCTCAAGTTTTTACACCATTTCATCAAGAAAATTCAAAAAAATTGGGTTTCAGATTCAACACTCGAAAATCTTGATTCTCCTTCAAAAACTCATTGCAACTCTTGTTAAAACATTAACCCACTTCGAAGATTTGCTACCCATACATCTCCTATAATTTTTCACTCAATTCCTCAACAAAATTTCGAAAAACCAAAATTTCTCTCACTCTTGGTCAAAAAATCCAACCCAACCGTGCCTCCGAAGAAGAAATCAAAGAAAAGTGAAGCGAGCTCGTCGAATGTCGAGGTTGACACACCTATGCCCGATCGTTTCACCGATTGCCCCATTCTTATCGGTAAGTCAATTGATGTTTTCGAATTCTATCTTCAAGCACCGTCATTTAAGATAGAAGAATACTTTGAGGGTATATGATGAAAAAATATTATCTCTATCTCCGAAATTGCCTGTCTAGATTAATTCATGAATTTTATCGAAATCTATCCTTTTATTCCAATCATGTCACTTGCACGATTAAGGACAAACATTTCACTCTTGATAGAGCCACTCTTCGGAACATACTTGAGTTAGAGGAATGTGCATGTCTAAAATTGTCCAGTTAGGTTCGAAGGTTACAACGAACTCGAGGCTTGTTGTCGGGTTACCGACCATTCATTGACAACTAAAATGACATTAAATCTAAACCACCTCACTATCCCTTGTAAAGTTCTTCATCGTGCAGTTGCACACATTATCGTCCCTAGGAGTGGTCACTTTGAGAAAGTTCATAATCTTGATTTATTCATTCTTGATTCACTTCTTGTTGGTCGTAAGTTAGATTTTCCCTATCTTTTCTTAAAACACATTCGACATGTCCACTCATCTTCTCGAGTCTTAGGTCTACCCTATGTCGTGCTTTTTCGCAAAAAAAATACGATACTTTAATGTGCCACTAGACGATGAGCCCATTCTTCAACCTAAACACATCGACATCATTAACATTAACACCCTTAAATGCATGAAAATAGTTAAAGGCGAGGGGCAATGGATGTGTCACACTCAAAGCTTTGACAATGTTTCGGGCCCTACTACTTGGCCCTTTACTGAAGAAGATGCGGAAGAAGAAATGGGTGGTGATGATGGTGGTAATGACAATGAAGCACCGCGAGCAAGACATAGGCCTACTCCTCCACAAGTTGCACCTACTCCTGGCCAACAAGTCAATTAAACATTCTCCAAGGATGAATTGACTCCCTTGCTACTACCGTCACAAGTCGAATGGATGCTCTTGAGCATAAGATAGAACAAATGAGCTTATCACATGAGACCTTCTTCGCTCACATGTACTCGATCTATCCTCGAGGCCCTCATCCACCGACGAACGATTGAAGTTTTTTTTTTGTTCTATTTAGTTATGCAAAAATTTCTTCTCAAAAAGATTATCTAGTTTGATGCTTTTTTTTTCTTTTGACCTATGATTTATTTCACTTGTTATGAATTGATTGACTACTTTTTCTTTATTTCTCCTAACGTGCACCTATGCCTTACTTATGGGGGAAGTCTCTTTTACGTCCCCATTCTTTTTGATCAAAGGGGGAAAATGAAATGTGATATGTGATTGCTATTATACATTGGTATGAATTATGATTTATGACTTCAACTATGACTTCTTATGAATTGCCATAATGAATTGTGACTTCTAATCTGATTTATTGAATTATGAAAATGCATTATTTTAAACATTATGCTATGGGAAATAATATAAACACAAACTCAATTACCATTAATGTGTAAGAATTAGGGGGAATATCTTGTGTATCTCTACAAATAAACACAAATCACATATTGTTGTCATAATCAAAATGAGGGAAATTGTTGATCTATGATTCAATATAGCTCCACTTGTTTTGATTATAAGAAACAATATACTTATATTTCTAACAAGTTTTGTTTGTTGAGTTTTTCATTAATAAATTTTCTTAAGCATTCAAAGGTTCAAATCGTCATTCATTGAAAAACAAACAATCAAAAGAAGACTCGAAGAGAACAAGAACTTTGAAAAATAGAGTCTAGAAGTTGTTTATCGAAAACTTCAATTTATATGTAAAGGTAT